TATCGATGTGCTTACTCCTTCCATGTTGGACTGGATTCCTAGCAAGCTTGATAGCTGAGATGTTATCCATATGAATCACAGTCGATTCCACTTGTGGATGACACACTGACTTCAACAGATTTCTTAACCAAATTGCCTCACACATGGTTGAGGCTACAGCAACGTACTCCGCTTCACACGATGACAAAGCAACAATTGATTGCTTCTTTGAAGTCCATGAGAAAGCTGTTGATCCTAGAAAAAACACATAGCCAGTTGTGTTTTTCCTTTCATCTTGGTCACCTCCCCAATCACTATCTGAATAACCAAATAATTTTGCATCTTCACCAAAATTATAAAACATACCATAGTTTAGAGTACCTCTTATGTACCTCAAAATTCTCTTGGCGGCCAGCCAATGAGACTCCCTTGGTGTTTCCATGTATCGACTCACGAGTCCAACACCATAAACTATATCAGGTCTTGTGATTGTAAGGTACCTTAGGCTTCCAACCAAGCTTTTGTACACGGTTGAGTTTACAAACTCACCTTCTCCTTCCTTAGATAGCTTCAATCCAGTTGCAACTGGAGTGTTGACAATATTGCACTTGTCCATATTGAATTTCTCCAATATATCTCTCATGTACTTTTGTTGAGAAATGTAGATACCATCATTTCCTTGCTTCACTTCTATGCCAAGAAAGTATGACATTAATCCATTGTCAGTCATCTTGAATTCACTGAACATGGATTGCTTGAACTCACAGAACATTGCTTCATTGTTTCCTGTAAACAACAAGTCATCTACATAGAGACAAATAATTAAGAACTCCCCTTTTGCACCATTCTTCATGTAAACTGAATGCTCGTATGGACATTTCTGAAATCCATTTTGATGAAGGTAGTTGTCAATCCTTGAGTTCCAAGCTCGTGGTGCTTGCTTGAGGCCATACAAAGCCTTCTTCAAACGATACACCTTATCTTCTTTTCCCTGTACTTGGAAGCCTTCTGGTTGTTCCACGTACACTTCTTCCTCAAGAACTCCATTAAGGAAGGCTGACTTGACATCTAATTGATAAATTTTCCATTTATGATGAGCGGCAAGAGAGATTAGCAATCTTACCGTGTCAAGTCTTGCAACTGGAGCATAGACTTCATCATAGTCCACTCCATACTTCTGTTTGTAGCCCTTTGCTACAAGCCTTGATTTGTATCGATCCACACTCCCATCTGCAGTGCGTTTGATCTTGTAAACCCACTTGACACCAATAGCCTTCTGATTTGGTGGGAGCTTTGTCAACTCCCAAGTGTCATTCTTCTCGATGGCATGGATCTCTTCTTCCATGGCTTTTTTCCAACAATTTTCTTCCACAGCTTCATTGAATGAGAGAGGCTCATGGTCTGCATAGAAGCAGAAAAAATTGGTTTCTTCTTCTTCTTGTCCATAAATCTCTGTGAGACTCCTTAACCTCACTGGAGTTGAGGAGCTGCTTTCCTCACTAGATGTAGGACCACTCCTTGCAATTCTGTGCACTGGAGTTATTGTGATTGTTTGAGCAGGTTGTTGCTCAACAGGTGGTACAACTTCTGGTTCTTCAAAATCAGTGGAGACAATCTTCTCTTTACTGACTTCTTTGTTGTTCCACATCCATGCCTTTTCCTCACTGAAAATGACATCTCTACTAACCACTAGTTTGCCAGTTAGTGGGTTGTAGAGCTTGTACGCCTTGGACTCTTCACTATAGCCCACAAACACACACTTCTCACCTCTATCATCAAGTTTCCTCCTCTTGGCTTCTGGAACTTGAGCATATGCAACACACCCAAAAATTCTTAGGTGTGTAACATTCGGCTTGTATCCACTCCAAGCCTCTTGTGGTGTCATCCTCTTGACACTCTTTGTTGGACATCGATTCAACAAATAAATCGAACAAGCTACAGCTTCTGCCCATAACTCTTTTGGCAAATTCTTCTCCTTTAGCATGGACCTTGTCATGTGAAGGATGGTTCGATTCTTTCTTTCGGCTATCCCATTTTGCTGTGGGGTATAGGCAGCAGTAAGTTGATGCCTAATTCCTTGCTCCTTGCAGTATGCTTGGAAAGCATTGGAGGTGTACTCTCCACCTCTATCTGATCTCACAACCACAAGCTTGTGGTTGCTTTCAGCCTTTGTGAGTGCCTTGAACTCCTTGAAGATTCTTAAGGCAGCCGTCTTCTCCTTGAGAAAGTAAACCCAAGTCTTCCTCCTAAAATCATCAATGAAAGTAATAAAATACTTATTACCTCCATAAGACATGGGATCCAATGGACCACATATATCTGTGTGCACCAACTGCAGTGGTGCCCTTGCTCTCCATGTATCACCAACAGGGAATGATAGTCGTGCTTGCTTGCCAAGCACACAACCTTCACATACTTGGCGTGTGGCTTCAATTTGGGGTAGACCACGAACCATTCCTTCATTTGACAGCAACTTTAGGCCATTGAAATGAAGATGGCCATACCGAAGATGCCATTTCCATGACCCATCTTCCATTACACCGATGTTGCAACTCCCAATCTTTGTGTTCAACTTCAACGGGAACATTCGGTTCTTTGACATTTGAACACATGCAATAAGTTTTCTCCTTGCATTCCTGAGAGTGAGAAACATATTCTCCATATGTATAATGTACCCTTTCTGGAGCAGTTGACCAATGCTTAGAATGTTGCTCTTCATACCTGGTATGTAGTAGGTATCGGAGATGTATTCTTCTTTACCATCCTTTTGGATGATCTTAATCTTCCCTTTGCCTTCAACTGGCAACTTTGAGGAGTCACCAAGACTTACAGATCCATAGGCCCCATCTTTTAGTTCGGCAAAAAACTCCTTCTTTCCACACATGTGATTGCTTGCACCAGAGTCCAAATACCAAACATCTTGTTGGCTACTGGAATCATGGTGTGCTAGCAAGACTGTAAGTTCTTCATCAGTATTTCCACTTGATTCTGCCATGTTGACATGCTCACCATTTTTATGTGAACATTCATTGGCATAATGTCCATATTGCTTGCAATTGTGACATTGGATATGCGCCTTTCCTCGAGTAGATCTCCACTCTTGAGACTGACCTCGATTTTGTGCATAGCCTCGACCTCGTCCTCGGCTACGGTTAGATGAACTCCCACGACGTGAGTTCCACTGCCCACGACCTTTATTTGGTTTGTCAATATTCAACTTTGACTCTAAAGCTTGCTCTAGCGTTGTGGGGCTTGCATTCTTCTGAATGCGTTGCTCGTGAACTAGGAGGGATCCTAGTAGCTCATCTGCGCTCATCACCTCCAAATCCTTGGATTCCTCAATGGCAGTCACCACATGCTCAAACTTAGATGTGAGTGACCGGAGTATCTTCTCCACAACTCGTACTTCATCGAGTCTCTCGCCATTTCTCCTCATCTGATTTACTATCACAATGAGCCTTGAGTGATAGTCGGAGATGCTCTCTCCTTCATTCATGTGAGCAGTTTCAAAATCTGCTCGAAGTGACTGTAATTTCACTTTCTTGACCCGATCTACTCCTTTGTAGATTGTACTGAGTGTGTCCCATACTTGCTTGCTCGTTGTTGCTTCTGCAACCTTCTCGAACGTTGAATCTTCTAGACCCTGGTATAGAAGATACAGTGCCTTCTGGTCCTTCTTTCGTAAGTCCTTGAGAGTGTTCCTTTGTTCTGCAGTATATGCAGCTTCTTGCTCGGCAATGGGTACAACATACCCACTACTGACAACTTCCCATAGCTCCTGTGATCCAAACAATGCTTTGAATTGGATGCACCATCTTTCATAATTTTCTTTCTTCAATGTGGGAACCTGGAGTTGCACTAAATTGGACGCCATAGCTACTGCACTTGCCAGAATGGTATTCTGGCTCTGATACCAATTGTTGGTATTCACAGGAGTTTGCTAACTCAATACCAAAATATGTGGGTGATAAGTTTACAAACTCTATCACACCTCTCACTTTCACTCTCAATAAAATTGGACAAAGAAAGGAAAGAAGTAGCAAGCTTGGTGATAACAAACACTTTGAAATATTAGAAGAGTTTACAACTCTTAAAACTTACAAGCTGAAATTAAATGAATGGGAAATGGGATTTGGATGGGATGCACTAAGGCTTAGCAAGATGGCCTATTTATACAAAACTGAAAAAATAAACAATCCAACAATACATATAATGAATGATGGTGTTCCACATCTTTACACCCTTTCAAACACATGCAGCAACTTTGATAGTTGGCATACACATGCATTGCATCATGGCAGGTTGTAATAACCACATTTCGGCTTGCACACAGCAGCTGACATCTCTGCTGTCTTTCAATCTCCTTTCGGCTAACACATGGAGGAAGCAATGATCTTTGTAGTTGCTGAAAAAACACCCTGGAAAGAAACTGACAGCTTGTTTTAACCATTAACAACCTGTTTTTATTTGATTTTCCAACATAAGGGACTGGCACCAACACTAGCCATAGCTAGTATCAGTGGCTGCCAGGAGGAGGACGGAAGCTGATATACACTCACACACCGGTGAGAAAACCCTCAAGAAAAGAAGAGAGAGTCTCTCACGAAACGGGAGAGAACTTAACACAGAGAGTAGAGTGTGTTTTTTTGTCTCCCGCTTTTTTTCTTTTTAATCAACCCTCTGCTCCACGGTTTTTTATCTACGGCTATCTGATATTAACAGTTTTGGTTTCGATTTTAATGTGAAATGTTGATATTGAGAAAGCACAAGAGGACTAGTTGGTTATTGAATTTCTTAAATGCCGGTTAATTTTTGAAAGAACAAAAATTTAGTTGGTTATTGAATTTCTTAAATGCCGGTTAATTTTTGAAAGAAAAAAAATTATGTGAAATATGCAATGCATTGAATCCTTTTATTGGCTCGCCTCGGGTTCTCTTAATCCCAAGGCCGGCTCTTATGAAAACAGGGAGCAAAATGCACGAAATCTTAAAACCAATACTATGATGGCACAATACACAAAATCACTCTTCCTCCCTAAAAGTTAATGAGCCTTGAGGATGAACAGAAGAAATGTCTCCAACTAGGTTAGTTTCAGGACAATGAGCCAACTCTATAGAATTATTGGCTGAGGATGCAAGAGGTTCCGCTAGAAGCTCATCCCTTTGCTTTTTTATCTTCTTTTTTACATCGACAAGAGTTTCCTTGACCTTGCATAACTCCTCGAGGTTGAGGCTATCCATTGGTGCTTTTAACCAATCAGGCCCCGAATGCTCCATTATTTTCCTGTTCAGTTGCTTTCCCCTTTTCTGCTCAAATTTCACTTGTTCAAGTAAATGAGAGAAGCTGTCGTTAAGACCTTGCATAACTGGTTCTTTTGTAGCCTCGCTTTGACTGGTACTGGCATCAGGGTTTTGAAACTGATGAAACCTGTTAAGTACCGAATGAACGGAAGGGTAGCCAAAAGAAAAGGGCTTCCTTCCAAGTGAGAAGATAACCAGTAAAACCTGAACAGCACACATGGTGCAAAGCTCACTAGCCTTTTTGAAGAGGCTGGATCTGCGTTTGGAGAAAGAGACTTGCCGTGCATGTTGACTCTCAATCAACTCCATTTGAATTTTTTTGCGGCCCCTCATTCTTTCTCTACAAGCAAATGAAAAGGAGGCAAGAAAAATCTTGTTCGTATTGAATGGGAATGAAAAAACTTTCAGGAGAAACATGTTAATTTATAAGGACATTCTCTTCAACCAATTTGTAAATACATGCATGTTGCCTTAGTCATATGACAATAATGACATAATCTTTATCGTTTTTGACCACAGAAAATGAAATTATCAAATATCGTAATTCTTCGTGAGCATACCAAAATACGTAATTTTGATATAATTGGGCCTTAAATTCCGAAACAAACTACCAAAGATATCTACAACGTGAAATGTATATATGTATAAAAAAAAAAAGTAATTATTATGGTTGACTCGTTCGGTAACTTAAAACAATTTATTGCGCCTTAATATAAATATATCATTGTATTACAAATTTAATTATATAAACTAATGTAATGTAATATGTTAAAACGCAAATTCATAACGAAAGTGTTTGAAGTGGCTGGATTGCTATATTAAATAACGAAATAATTTTGTTTTATGGTTACATTTAAACCACATTATTGCTATCTCATTGTGAGGTTAAGTTCACTCTCTCCTCTTAGTATAGATAATATCGTTTGTTTTAGAAGAAAAAAAAAAGTGTAATGCGGACCCACGTTTATAGGTCTACTGCCTTTTTTTATGTTTGGTTGGTCCAAATGCTGGATGGGAATATGGATAATGCTAGGGAGACTAAATTAGTAAAATAAAATTTCAAACTAAATGATGTGTCATCAATAAAAATGAGCACGTTTATTAACAATCAGGTAATAATTCAATCATTAACTTTTATGTTATTTAGTTTACAAATTTAATCTCCGCATTACCCTAGGAATATAGATTGTACTCCTTTCCATAATAATTCTTTAATGGTATGGTTTTATGGATTCATTCCAGCATTTGAAAAAACATTGGACTCGAGAAAAGAATCATTCACGTGAACCAAAAATCATTGGATATTGAGGACTTGATACGAGAACACAAAGAACCCAGTATTACGGAAATACCCTTCTAGCATTCGCATAAATCCAAACCCAAACTAATTGTTTGTCTTGGAAGATTTTGTAATTGACCCAGGTTGATGGAAAACTAATTGTGCCTCTACCAAGAAACCTAGAGCCTTTCATATTCATTCCATCTAATAAGTCTAACTTAGGGATAGCATGAGCTCTTGGGTCACACCACGTTGGTATGGGTTCACTAGTAAAAAAAACACTTTGCGCGACGTAGGTACTTTCGTCGCGCAAAGTAAAAAATCGTTGCCTAAGGGTTTGCGCGACGCAACCTTCATCGCTTGTTAATCGTCGTGCAAAGTCTGAGACGCTAGGGTTTGTGCGACAACCCACAGCGTGCGTCGCGCAAAACGGGTTTGCGCGACCAACGGAGTGCGTCGCGCAAATCCACTTTGCACGACCCACTTTGTGCGTCGCGTAAACTCACTTTGCATGACCAACGAAGTGCGTCGCACAAACTCACTTTGCACGACCAACGAAGTGCGTCGCACAAACTCACTTTGCACTACCCACTTTGTGTGTCACGCAAACCCACTTTGCGCGACTAACGGAGTGCGTCGTGCAAAGTGATTGGTCGTGCAAAGTAGGGAGTAGTTTTGGTCAAACTTTTTTTTTTTAATTTTTGATAAATATTGTAATTAAATTCGAAAGAATAATTAATTAACCAAGAAAAAGTATTTAATTATAAAATATATGGAAATGTACATACAAGATCCGAACAAAAAAGAAAAAACTACAAGTGAACTAGGTTTAATACATCAAGCTACTAGGTATCGGCAGGGTGAGGTGGCTTTGAGGTCGAAGGTGGACCAAGATGAGGTGCTGGTAGTGAGATTTGAAGGCCGGACATCTGTACGGCTTGTACAAGGTCTCTCCACGCCCCGGCATATGACCTCATCTCCTCGCCCTGGGCCTTTAGGGTTGTCACTTCCTCCTTCAATGCATCTACATCTGCTGTGTTTGATCTGGAAGAAGAAGCACCCGTTTCACGAATCTGTGCTTTCCCCATACACCGAACAACCTTGCCACGACGACGACCTATGTTCTGATCCTAGGACATCAGTCATGATCTGAAAACCTACATCCTCGGGTATCGTGACGTCCTCGATCGGGGTCTCCGGGGGAAGCTGCGATGTTGCTTCTTGGAGAATAGAAGTGCTCTTTCCACCATAGTAGCCTATAATAATAAAGAAAAAACATATAATGTTTAATAACAAAATATAAATAATATTTGAATGATTCATACATATAAGAATAATAATAATTACATATACTTACATGAAACTGCTCAGTAATCTCCTGACCAGGTCGAACGTAAACGTCCTTGAACATGTCGATTGCTGGGAACTTCGAACCCTCCTGAAGAAAAAAAACACTAAGAAAATTTTATTAATCAATAATAATAATAATTAAAGTTAATATACTTTTACCTGACGTCTTGTCTGAAGCCTATACGAAAAGGGTTTCGAACCAGAATGGTGGAGAAGTGTCTTTGACTCATAAGCTTTTTGGCCAGCAACAAATTTCTTCTGTTAAACACAGAATATACATGTTAGTGCAACTATTTGAAATAAATTAATAAAAAAAGCTTAAAAAATAACGAAAATAATAATAAATTATTATTAAAATATTATGTACATACCACAAATTTTGGGTCCGTAAAATGTTTGCAGAGCCACTCCCAATCATCTGGCCGATCCTTTAACTTGCTTGGAACATGTAGGCAAGCAATCTTTGGATCATCCCATCGCTTAAAATACGTGTGAAAAGTGCTCTTCCAATTTTTGTACCGGTTTGCTAAGGTCTCCTCTAAGTAGGTCATGACCTCAGGGGATATGTCCTCAAGATCATAAATGACCTACGAATATGAAAAACAATAAAATAATAGTAAAATAATATATTTTGGTTTTTAATATTTGTAAACAAAATTAAAAAAATGATAAAGGCTAAAAATTAATATACTAACCGACAACTCGTGTCGCACCAGTCTCTTCGTCTCCTCGGGAATTTCTGCCCAAGACTTCCACTGAAAAGGACATATTGTCTCGAATAACAACACCACAGCTACTAGCAATGAAGCTATGTTGCTATGTGGTAACTACTCCACGATGTTGCGGGTCATACGCAATCTTGATCTTGGAGGCGGCCTGCCGTGCGCTCTGTGACTGCTTCAGCATTCGACTAGGCCCTCTGGTGTTTTTTTTAGCTGGCCAAAAATACTTAAATGGTGAAATCCCAAAGCTTAAATTTGTAAAAAAAATTCGACACAACCTCCCGTAATAGTATAGCATTTTCCAAAACATTAAAATAATAAAATAACATTAATTCACAACCAGCAACACATTTTCACAATCCAACAAATTTTCACCATCATAAAAATAATAGTTTTAAAATGAAAAAAAAATACAGCGTAGTGAGAATTAGAAAAACTACCTGGATGGGAGGCCTCACACTTGACTTTGGATTCCGAGGAAGTGTGATCAGAAGGTTCCGGCTCACGGCGCCGCTGATGAGGCCGCCGTGCACTGAGCCGCTCAACCGACACTGATGACGTAGATGATACAGGCACCTGGGACGCCGTAGGAGTAGCCTCAGCAAAGGGTGTAGGCTCGCTAATCAATGAAGCACTCATGGCTAGAGCTGTAGATGCTAATAATGCAGGAGGTGCATTGGTCACACTCCGACAACGAGTGATCAACTGCGACATCTATACACTTATTCAACCATAAAAATATAACATTAGAAACTAATCCTACAACATTTTTCTTAAATGCAACAGATAATGTTGTGGGTTTTATGACAAGGTAAATGCAACAGAAAAACTCACATCAAGCTTTCAAGAAGGATTAGAACCCTGGAGTATCAATATTTCTCTTACAGTTTTCAACCTTATCGTCTTTCTCAAATGCAATTGTGATCCTAGAAAAGGAAAATACGATTGTAACTATACAACGTATTAACTAAGCACAATGTAGGAAACCAGGAAATGATGGGGTACATATTCAAATAACCTATAGACATATGAGAGTCCAATCTAACTTAAACATCAAAACTAACATTTCAAATTCATCACCATTTCCATCACAAGCATCAGCTTTCAAATTTGACCTTACAGAGAGTTAATGCGTCAATACATGCACCACCCACCTAATCCACTAGAGAAAAATGATAGGCAAAAAGAAATGGGATGGCCCAAAATCATGAGAAACCTATTCATATCCATTTCAAAACTGTTTTCCCATGACAGAAAGAGGACGACATAATTCTCAAATGCAAACTACTTAACAATAAACTCATCATGATGTCAATGCTGTAAGTGGGTGTATATGCTAGGTGATGCATTTGCCAAGCATGTAAATGGACAACAATAATCCAACTCAATCAAAGCTGTTGAGGCATTTCAATATGACAAGAGTGTTGAGGCATTTCAATATGACAGAGTGTTGCACATCAGCATGTAAATGAAAAATACAACATCAACTCATGACAGTGAGTGTTGAACATCATCTATGTGAGAAATACATTCAATATGATAGAGTGTTGCCTTGACGATGTAAACCCCATGACACAAAGTTTTTCAAGATTTGAGGCATTGACAAATAAATAGTTTGACAACTCTGTATCTTTCACAGTTGTTCTTAAAGTCTTTAATTCAAGAGCAAATATGTTGAAATTCATTGCATCTCTTCCGAAAAATGGATGTATATCCAAATCTTCAAGAACAAGGGAGTTACAGAAAAGCTTTTCCAATGAGGTATCACCTAATACAAGATCTGTGATAACATGAAGCAACTTGAGACTTGGGAAACAACAACGCAATGTCGTAGGAAACCCAAAAATTTCACTAAAAAGCCCAATTATATTTGGAAGCTTAGTCATTATATATTCGTAGCAAACCAAGCTCAAATTCATGAGTAGAGTGCAAAATGAGGAGTATGCAAATTCACATTC